CTTTAACTTACAACCTTAAAAATATCCAAGGATTGATTTTAACCAAAATGGAAGAATAACAACATTTTAAATTATATATTTTAAAAAGCTTGTTCTTTACAAACCTCATTTCTCTAAACTCCACTGATGACTAATATTACCATGCAGATAAGCAATTCTCTATCTTGGTTAGGTCTAAAACTGAATCTGAGAAGCAAGCAAATGTATAGCAAGAAAATCTGTAAACCAGTTTTCAACGAATGAACTACCTGCTGTTTCCTATTCACAGATAATTGACACCGTGTAAAGATCTGCTATAATCTAGAAAGCAAAACAAAACAAAAACCATACACACACACAGCAATAATGGACCCACGAACTTTTCAAGTCAAGCAAGAACTGGTGGCAAACTGAGGTTTTCAGGAGTTTTTAAAAATAATAACATGTCAATCTGGAAATCCAGGTATATTATGGCCTTTGCAGAAATATTTTGAAACAAGGTGGACACCTTCTGAAATAGCTGTAGCATTTCAGTAGCATTAATCGATAGGGAAAAATAGAATGTCCTTCTCCACAACTGACAATACTGAACTGAACACGGAGGAGTGACAATTCACTTTAGTCTTAAGTCATCAGTCACTTGTGTCATAAGATTTGGTCACTTTAGTCATAAGATTTTGGTTAAAAAGGTTATCCATTCATGAGGAAGAGTATTAAAACCTGAGAAGGTTTTTGCTTGTTTGAAAGAGACAAAACGTGGCACAGAAAATCCATCTTCAATTACCACGCTTATTCTCTAAAACTATCTGGCATCCAAGGTGCCTGGGTGTTTCAGTAAGTTAAGCATCCAACTCTTGATTTCAGCTCAGGTCATGATCTCGGGGTTGTGGGATTGAGTCCCACGTGGGGCTCCACACTGAGCATGGAGCCTGCTTAATATTGTTTCTCTCTGCCCTACTCGTACTCTCTATCCTCTCTCTCCCTAAAATAAAAATAAATAAATAAAAATAAAAAATAAAAATATCTGGCAACCACGGAATTCTTTTCCATTTCTGAGGAGTATTTTGATTCACTTATGAAGAAAAACTCCTTTTGTGCTCAGTGATGCAACTTAATATCCCAGGCTAACTCCTTCTTGTCAAAAAATTGAGAATCCATGTAAAAGTAAGGCATAATGATGACTGTTATCTTGACAATTGCTATGTTACTGCCCACATTATTAAAAGCTTTTCTTGTAACCAATATTAATGAGAAGTACGTAATCACTATGTCGGTATTTTTAAAGTATCCCTATTTTCCAATGATTGACCTATATTTTCTACCAATTCTCCTAAGATTTTTCAATTAAAAATAATTTTAAGGAAATAACTGACTTTGCCAACACGTTCCAAAATAAAATTGAGTGTAAAAACAAACAAAAAAGGCAAATCAACAGGTAGTTTGGGCCAATTATCAAATAATCACAAATTATTTTCATAGACCTGATTCATATATTTCTGAGTAATAATATTTCAGTTTTTTTTTTTAATTTGTGTATAGTTGACACACAATGTTACATTAGTTTCAGGTATACAGTTGGGTGACTGGACAAGTTTATACATTATGCTATGCTCACTACAAGGGTAGCTGACATCTATCCCATTGCATCACTATTACAGAATCATTGACTATATTCCTTATGCTGTGCCTTTTATTCCTTGATTAATACTTCTTTTAATTAAACTGACCAAATTGAAGGGACTTAGGATGCACATAAATGCAGGTCCCAAGAGCAATAAAAGTTATCGACCCAATATTGGAAAACTTTTCTTTTCCTAATAGAAGTCTCCCAATGTGGCCTGTTTAAAGTTCTTATCTTGAATAAAAGATTTTGCCTCAGATCTCACAATGTGAGATTGAGCCCCATAGTAAGGCTACATGTTGAGCGTGGAGTCTGTTTAGGATTCTCTCCCTCCCTCTCTCTCTCTCTCTCTCCCTTTCTCCCCTTCCCTATTCACGCTCTCTCTCAAAAAAAAAAAAAAAAAAAAAAAAGAGAGAGAGAGAGATTTTTGCTCTTTTTCCTTATACAAAACAATAGTTACAGAACCACCTTCAGGGTGAACCACTCATTTCTACTTTAGCTAACAAGAAAATACAACTTCTTTATCGTTGTTAATTTGATATTATCAAACAAGTAGTTATAGATTATACTCATTTTGTGTCTTTATTCAGGAAACAATCAAAGTAAAAGCTTATTTTCCTTAGACAGCTATGGATATCAATACTGTTTTTTGTTTGTTCCTGAAGGCATAGATTCAAGTATTACTTTTTAGAGTTTCTTAACCTAGAATCCATGTATTGTTAGGAAATCTATAGGTTTCTGTAATTATACGTAAAGTTTCATGTGTATATACCCATTGTGTTTTTTTTTTTTTTCTGGCAGTAATTTATTTATTTGGTTTTTTTTTTTTGCTACCTACCATCCATATGCCCTCATTCTGTTACAAGTACCCCACTTCCCTCTGGGAGGCAATCCTAGTGCCTAGTCCATGGAAAGTGATAAAGCTGACTCTATCTCTTGCTCCAAGAGAGGTGTGCAGGATTAGTCTGTGATTTAATCAAAACCAATTAGCACAAAGAGACTTTTGATAAGGCTTCCGGGAAAGAGGCTCTCTTTTTCCAGTTTGATCTGAATAAAGCCCAAGGGGATGCTAATACTCAGCAATGCCATTGCCACCATCTTGCTCGCAAATGAAGCCAAGACTGATGCTGTATTAGTGGAAGCAAAGAAATGGAGAGAAGTTGAGTCCTACTTACATTATTTTAATACATAAGTTAGCTCTATGCCTAGACTTCCCATATTTTAGTAAACAACACACAGACACGCATGCACATTCATACCTCTTTCTCCCCAACATACACAGAGCGGACTTCTTCCTTCTTCAGCTTAACTGCTACTGGCTTTCTCTGACCTATGCTATCTAATAAGAATTCCACTCTCAGTATCTTTACATCTGTCCATCCTACCTGTCTCCTTACATGTGCTCAAAATCATATGCTATATGCAATATCTTAATTCAATGCACAGGAATTTGGCCAGTTTTCCAGCCCTTTTCTGTCAAACTATACAAAGTACAGGATTATCTTGTAATTTGGGGCAGGGGGGATAGGAGGGAGGAAAACAGACTTTAAAAACTGAAGATTCAAATAGAGGTCATATTGTAAATTTCACCAATGATGGACCAAATTGAAATTTTTATTAGACATATACGAGAAAACATATTTCAGTTAGGCAAATTATCTTTAGCATAGATTAGGAACAAAGGATTTTTATGCATTTGAATCTGCATTCCAACCAGACTTAGCTGACATAATTATGGGGGCCCTAAAAGTAACAGTTAGGGTTTAGAAGCACGCCACTTCTTTTGAACTGGCTCTATAAATGCCAAGAGTGAGTATTTCAGATTAAATGAATAGATTAATAAACATCTTTGGAATATCCATCATTAAGGTTGATTTATGTTCTATTGCCAGCAATAATTCAAGGAAATGCCATGCTATTCAAAAAATATTTCATGCCGTTCTCCCCATTTTGCCAATGATATGACAACATGTAAGTATGACAGTATCTATATTCTTTCGTTGTACTAACTATACTCAAAAGCCGATAGAAATTAAACCACTTTAAGTTTACATGGGCATCAGCACAAGAACCACTCATATTTATAACTCTGATGAATGGCCTTTCATTTATAAATTTATAGTGTATCCATAATTTCTTTAGGGAACCAAAATGCTCATTCAAAAAATTGCCACAACATTTATCTATGCAAAGATGATGGATATGGTTTACAAAATTAAATGCTTTTAAAAATTAAAATCATATTGCAAAAAAAAAAAAAGGACAGGTTTTTTTCTTGGGGTTCTCACATTTTAAAATGATCACAACTGCACTCTCAGCACTTATAATGCTTAATCTAGATAGCGTATTAATATATGTATTAAATATTTCCATATATATTGTCGCTAGTGTTGTGCAGCATCAGTGTGAACTACTGGACATCAAGTACTCATACATTTATTTTATTTTCTAATTCTATTCCACTACATTAAGCTATAAAATATATAAGGTATAATTAGAATGTAATATTTTATATGTATATTACTGCATTCGCTGTACTTATTTCCTCAGGACCACTCCGAGCATACTGCATGGTGTACTGTAAGCATGGACCATTATAAAGTATAATTTAAATAAAATACGTATTGGCCAAATATCAACATCCTATTTTTTATACTTGTTATTTAAGTTTATCTTTATTTATTTTTGGGAGAGACATAGAAAACAAGCAGGGGATGAACAGAGAGAGAGGGAGACAGAATTCCAAGCTTGCTCCATGCTGTCAGCAAAGAGCCCAATGCAGGGCTCAAACTCACGAACCAAGAGATCATGACCTGAGCGAAAAGTCAAGGTCAAATGCTTAACCAACTGAGCCACCCAGGCGCCCCAATAGGGCATCCTATTGTATCCCAGTATAGACTTTGTTCAATTGGAAAAATCAGTTAAGTAGAAGAAAATGAAAGGTAAAAATTATCGCTAAAGTAACCAGTAAAAAGCAAAGTATCAACATGACAATTGTGAAGAAGAAATGCACACTGCTGTTATGTATGATGTGTTCTGGTGACATTCCTATTCTCCCTTCATTTCTCTCACATACTATCTATCATAAGTAGGAAATGCACACAAATCTCAGTGCTATGTTGTTGGTTTTATTTCTGAAGTAGTTTTGCTTTTTAAAGATCTATCCTACTATTAAAGAATATATAAAACGATTGAACCTGAGTTTACTTATTTGATAGTCATATGCACAACTATCTCCAAATTGGTAACTTTATCATTAGTTCACCCAGTCAAAAAAAAAAAAAAATGTGTTCCAAATGCTTGCAAAATTCATACGCAAAATATTTCTTACATATTGCACTCTATTTTGCTTAAAACTAACATAATGTTAAAAAAATAATAAAAGAAAGAGTTTACATACCCCAGTGGATCGCTAGCTCCTTCTGGACAGGAACTTATTCATCATCATCTTTGGGTTACCAGTGGCCGGCACAGCACCTAAGATATAAGGCATCCCCCATAAATGTGTTTGAATTAATTCAATGATAAAGTGCTGACCAGAATCCATTTGGAAGGAATGAATTCAATGACATAACCATTCTATACATTAATCCTCTTCCTCTGTATCCTACATTATTAAAATAGCAGTGCACGTTCTTATACATTTGAATGACAACTTTATTCTGAAAATCATTCTCAAGAATAACTGCTTTTAAATTATTATTATATACTCTTACTGTCCTTTGGGTTTGGTGAAGGCAATAAAGTGTTTGAAATCATGTACTTTTGAGTTAGGCAGACACAGATTTAAAACCTGTTTCCACCATCATTTTATTTACATGGTTTATATCTTATTTACAATGCTTAGCATACTGCCTGATACATAGGATGCCCTCAATAAATGATAACTACTATTTGCATTCATGACTCTTTCCCTCCCTCCTTTTCTGTGTGGTGAAGAATGACCTTATCCAAGGAAAGATCTGGCTTTGTCTTTGGCTACAGAGAGGTGATCTCTAGGGCCTCCATGTGTCATATCTGGCAGGAGTGTCTTTGCTTGCCTGAGGGCTTTGGCCACACAACAGTCAAACAGTGTGATTTTGGATGGGGGATTGGGGCCATGCAGTATCAGTTTTGCCTCTAGAAGGAACTGGAGATTAAAGGTATCAACCCATAGTGACATCCGGGAAGGGCTGGAGACTAAAGGTCAACAACTTGGGCAGTATGTAATTGCATCCCAATAAAAACTCTGGATGCCAAAGTCTGAAGTGAGCTTGCCTAGTTGACAATGCATGCTGTCACAATGATACTAGAAAAGTAATGCCTCCTGACTCTATCAGGAGAGCTCACTGAAAGCTCTGTGGTTGGTTCTGCAGGCCTCAAACTCAGACTCAGTCTCAGCCTTTTACTTACCAGCTTGAGACTCGGCCTTACATACTTTTTCCCCTGGCAGATTTTAATGTATAGCCTTTCCCTGTAGTAAACTACAACTATGAGTATCATCTGTTTTAGTGAATTCTTCTAGCAAATTGTCAAACTTGAAGGTGGTTTTAGAAACGTCTGAAACTTGGGAGTTGGTGTCAGAGTATGTGGAGAAATGTGTTTGTAGTTGACCGAGTTTGTAGTTGACTAATCATACGGCTGGTTAAACTCTTGTACCTTCCTTATTTAAATCTAGAAATTCCCCAAACTTTGAAAGATATTTTACTTTACCACTCAAGTTACCTTAACAGAACTCTCACTATTAAAAATCACTTTGAAGTGATAGTGTTTATGTATAGATAATATGGCCTTGTCTTATTTTTTTCGTTGCTCACAAACAATAAAAACCACCCCCACCTCCACACTCCCAGTAACAAATGCAGAAGCATGTTTTGTTGGTTTGGTTTTGTTTTGGTAATGTGAATGATAGTAATATTCAGAAGTGAATGAGTCACAAACAAGTAAAATTTCTAAAAGTAATAGTTGATCTGTCAAGGTCAGATGTTAGAAAATTAACTTCATCAAAAGACGTGCTAGTTTTCAAACAAAATATTAATTAAATCACACTTTCATTTGTGCTTTTACTAAATGCTTACACTGCACTCTGCAAGAGGCTGTTCACAATCTTGTTGTTGGTAGTTTTTTGTTTTTTGGGGTTTTTTAAGGTTATAAATACAAATTTGGTAAGCAGAATTTAAGATGCCCCTCCCAAATCCTCCCAATTGGGGAACATGCTCTGCATAGTCCCGAGATATGTGAATATGACAGATCTGACTCTCATGAATAGGTTATATTACATAACACAATAGACTTTAAAGCAGTGGGGTTATCTGGGTGGACCTAACCTTTTAAATCTTGATCTAAAGGGCAAAGACAGAGGAAGATGGAGATTTGATGCATAAAGAGGATTCAATACACCATTGCTGGCTTCAGGATGGTGGGAGCACCTACAGAGCCCCCAGGGAAGCTATGGACCACCCCTGATAGCCAGCATGGAAATAGGGACCACAGTCCTACAACCAGAAAGAGCCGAGTTCTATCAACAAGAATGAGTTTGGAGGCAAATTTCTGTTTCCCCAAGAATGTGCAGATAATGAGAACTCAACCAGGCTAACCTTGATTTCAGCCTGTGGTTCTCTGAGCAGAGAGAGCCACGCCATGCTAGAGTCCTGACCTAGAGAACTCTGAGCTAGAAAATGGCCACTGTTTTAAGCCACAAAGTTTTTGCTAATTTGACACACACCAATAAAAGCTAATAAACACAAGAACAAAACTGCATATGTTTGACTGACCTCTGTTCAGAATTTCACTCTGAAAATAGGGACACTTATGTGCTAAGATTCATTCACCATGTAGCCCCTAGTTTACCATAGCCAATACTGAAAATTCATAAACCCACTCTGAACAAGAAATACAGACAAGATACTATGCCATAAGCTATACACTGAATATTTGTGTCCTCCAAAATTCCTATGTTAAAACCTAATGCCCAATGTAACGGTATTAGGAGGTGGGGCCTTCAGTTCATGAGGGTGTAGCCCTTATGAATGGGATTCCTGCTCTTATCAAAGAGACCCCACAGAGCTTCCTACTTCTTTCTACCATGTGAGGTTACTGCAAAAAGATGGCCATTTAGAAAATGGGCTCTCTCCAGACACAATGTGCTGATGCCTTGATTATGGGCTTCCCAGTTACCATAACTGTGAGAAATAAACTTCTGTTGTTTATAAGCCACTCACTTTATGGTATTTTATCATATTAGCTAAGACTAAGTATGGACTAAGAATGGAATGTTTTTATTGCCTATAAACAGATAATTTGGAAACCTCAACTCTCTCTCTCCTATATGGAAGGTGTTCAAAAAGTAACTTGAATATGCTGTGAATTATCTCTTGATTTTCTTGAGCCATCTTAAGGGGTGGGAACAGGCAGTGCTCAAGCCTTCTTGAGACATACATGGGAAACGACCATATGCTCATTGCAGAATGACAAACTCTCTATGTATCTCGAAAGAGGTTGGAGGTCACTTAAGAGGAATCTCCCGAGAGTCTTCATAGAACCTGCTGCCACAGCTGCTCCCCGTCTCATTCTCTTTTCATTCATTACTACAATGCTGCCATATTATTTTTAATAAAACACAAATCTTATCATTGTGGTTCCCCCACTCAAAATAACCAACTGTGATGGCCCTCAAGATAAATTTATTCATCCACTTATATGCTAACTATTTAAGTGTGTACAATATGCCAGGTTCTGGGCTAGGTGATAGGGACATGATGGTAAGTATGACAGACAAAGTCCTGCTCTTCACTGAGCTCCGCTCTTTCAAAAATATACTTCCTGTCTTATTCATAAAAGACTGTTTTTTAAATGTTTTTTTTAATTTTTGAGGGGGGGGGCAGAGTGTGAGTGAGGTAGGGGCAGAGAGAGAGGGAGACACAGAATCCGAAGCAGGCTCCAGGCTCTGAGCTGTCAGCACAGAGTCCGACACAGGGCTCGAACTCACCAACTGTGAGATCATGACCTGAGCTCAAGTCCAACACTTAAGCAAATCAGTCACCCAGGCGCCCCCTATTTTTAAAAATGTTTTACTGTTTATTTACTTTTGAGAGAGCGCCCACCCGTAAGCGGGGGAGGGCAGAGAGATAGGGGGACAGAGGATGCAAAGCAGCCTCTGTGCTGACAGCAGAGAGCCCTATGCAGGGCTCGAATTCACAAACCATGAGATCATGAGCCAAAGTTGAATGCTTAACCAACTGAGCTACCTATGTGCCTGGCTATAATTAGTATTTAATCCTTAACTTGGGTTTCACTCCTCTGGGAAGCCCTCTTTGACAATTTTAGGCAAATTGGGCACCCCTTCTCTGTGTTCCCATAAAATACTGTTCCTAACCATATGATAACATTGACCATATTGTAATAAAATTGCATGAGATTACATATCTGAATCTTCCATAAGCAGAATATAGGGAGAAAATTCAAGAAGTGTATACATTCCAAATTTCTAGAGTCAATAAGAGATTATGAATGAGTAGTGCCCCTTGAGAGGAGCTAACCCTGGATCTACTTCCTTCTGTAGGATGGGATATACAATCTATATACACAATGGAGAGAGTATCCTAACTTGAGAGTAAGAACTAATCTGGGAGGCTAGCTCCCAGAATGAGAGCCTGTGCTAGCCCACACATCTTACATTATGTTATGCTGTGATGATAATTCCTCCTGACCCTATATACCCTCTGTCTCAATTATGAGCTCCTGGAGGTCTGGCCCTTTGAAGACTCCAGTATGCAAGCTGGGAGGTCAGCTACTATCTAGCACAAAGAGGCTATTAATCAGCTTACCTAGTGAGACAACAATCTTGAATGACAGAATTTGAGAGTAAAAAGTTGTTTCAAGTTTTCTAAAACATTCCCTGTGAGAAAACACAAGCAAAATGTGGATCCTAACAGACAGAGCCAATATAGGAACTCTCATGTACTTAGGGAGGAAGGGGAAAAGAAGTCTAGGACAAGGAGAGATGCAGAGCTCAGAGACAAGGGCCAGGCTTTCTGCACATCTTGTTACTTAACCTATAAGGAGGCGGGGCAGGAGAATGTCAGCTGGATAAAAGGAACCCAAGGGCCTATGGGCTAACAGTTCTCTTTCATGGACGTCACTTGTTGGGGAGAGGATGGAGGAGGTCAGAGGCCTCTCAGAGGATCCCCGTTGTACGTCTTGTACCCACCTAACCTGCGAAGGAGAAATAAAACACTGGGGAAGGAAGGTTCCCAGGCAGACTGAGTTAAAATGGGCTATTCTTCACAGGTTGTGTGCATGTACAAAGGACCTGACAACTTCTGCATTCTGCTCCATCTTCTCCATTCCCAACATGCTCCCCTACACACACAAACACACACAAACGTGACACAGAGGAAGACTGAGAAAGCCCTGAGATGAGAAAAGGAAGAAAGACTTCAAGGTAATGGTAGGTCAGTAGCAGCTGCTCCAGTTCAAAATCTAAGTGGGGCTAACTA